ATGTCGATATCCTGAGATTCGTAGTATTCCTTGATCCTACTTCAGACAAGGAACCTCCAGAGATCTCCAACTGTCCCGAGGATGTTACTATACCCGTCTCCTCGTCGACTGCTCGGGTGTCATACAGCTGGATTCCTCCAACATTCCTTGATAGCTCAGATGCTGACGTAGATGTAACATATTCTTGTCGTGGTTCATCACATCACCAATGTTCCCGAGCTGGATCCGGCTTTTTCTCCGCCGGGGTTACGGTGGTGATGTATAAAGGAAGGGACAGGTCCGGAAACGAGAACGTTTGCCAGTTTTCTGTCACAGTCGTAGGTGTGCTTAACAAGCTTTGTTGAACATTTCCGGTTTTGATAACCGTTTGCTTTTATATGGTGCTCATTAGGCAAGCCGTGCTCCATTGCTAATCCATAGTTGCAGCTGTTGTCTGTCCAACCAACATCAGAGTCTCGGCTGATCCTGGTTCCACAAGTGCCAACGTCCACTGGTTAGAACCAGTCCTTACTGGTTGGGTTGGACCAGTAAATTTCACGTCAAATGTCAGTTCCGGTGCTTTGTTTCCAATTGGAACTGCCGCTGTTAGCTTCAGGTTGTCGTCTTAAAGGTTTGAACTGGTTTTGGAGTGTGAATTCATCGTGACGGCTGCCTGTGAGAAACTTAATCGACGCAATCCTAGAACGCTTTGTTAGTGCGTAATAAATGTTCTCGATAAAAAAGTCACTTGAATGCTCTTGTCCAAGGAAATGTTCATGTTCGAAGCCAGAAACCTTTCCTTTGGTCATTGCTACATTTCAAATAAGATTGTCTCCTTTGGAAAAAAAATGAAAACACTTTATTATAAGCAAGTGGTTTTATTACAAATGATAAAACTTCTCAAGTCTAATTTCCAATATAGCCATGAAGTTATCACAAATTCTGTTCTTGCGTATTTTGAAAACTTTACCGTGTTTTCAAAAGACGATATCTCGGGAGCTCATTTTGCTTTTGTGCTTCGAATGCAGGTCAATGTGCCTCGGAAACTGTTGATGGTCTCACGTGGCCTGTGACGTCAGCAGGGTCAATGGTGGAGTCTATTCAAAGATGCCTCCTGATGACAACGAATGGTAGGAATGTTTGGGAAACATCAAAGATCGTAAAAGTTTATAGTGAAGACATTAATCGCTGAGAATTTCCCACTTATTCCTGACAACAATAAGGTAGCAGGCCTACTATGTAATTAACTTATAATTACTACGTTATTAAATTATTTTCACGTCCGTACTTGCGCCAATCGCCCTTCCTTAACTGTTATTTATAATGGGTTGCTTTTAAAAATTAGAGGTTGGCATTTTTATCAGAACTAAGGGTTCGTGGTCGAGGTTAAAGATGCCATCCCAACAAGATGAAACAATTTCCTCCTACTGAACGTCATTATTGGAGCGAGGGATTGGCGTTACAGTGAGCGAGGACAGTAACTTACAATATCCCCCGAGCACTGACGTGCTGTAACATAACTAGCCAATTGGTTCAATTAAATTTCCTCCTGAATTGCTTGTAGCTGGGGAACCTCTTGCTGTCAGGAACTGTTCAGTCGTACAACCTCCTGTGTATTTCCAGTGGGAGGAACCTGAACACCGAAGCTGCGGCAAAGAAAGGACTGATGTCACCATTGAGGATGTTGTAAAGGTACCGGTCTGTCCTGCTAACTTAAATGGTCGTCTATGTTGTTGTTTGCACTGCCTACAAGGTCTTTCTTTTTTATGCACTAGTTTAAAAGCAATACCTATGTTTTCAGTTATTGTATTTATCTTTGAATTCACATTTTATGCTTTTAATCTACTACAATTTTCACGCAAAATTCATAGTCCCTGGAGCGATCTCCCATATTCTCCATTCACTTGCAGGTTGAAGTTAGTACAGGAAACGCAGTTGAAGTGGCCGGGTTCCTGGCCAATGAGACTTCAGAGTCTACATCAGGGGATGCGCAAGATGTAGAGGTGGTTTCGGGCATTTTGATGAATATCATCCAGGCACAATCGGGCGATTCAGAGGTAGGATAGACATTTGTGTCACTTATCAACGCCTGTGAAAATTTGTTTTACGAGGATGCAGTTTTTGGTGAAAACCACATGAATTTCAGTCTCTTTGAAGAAGTGTTGGTTCAGAAGCTCAGAACCGTCTTTGAAAGTGATCAAAACTTTCCATTATTTAAGAAGTAGAATTAGTGTAAATTGGCGAGTGTGGTCAAATTGGCTTGTATTTTTCAGAAAAAAAAAAGTGATATTGATAAGTCGTTTTTGTGGTTAACATCCGTCAAGGTGACAGAGCTGGTACTTGAAGCTGTCAACAATGTCATCAGGGCAGGGGTAGAAGCCGATACTCCAGATTCTCGTAGATCCTCATCGGAAATCGTTCGGTCCGTTGAGAAACAGGTTGCCTTGACTCTCCAGGAGGAAGGTCGGGTCAGCATACGACAGGAGACCGTCCACGTCGAAGCAGTAAGTCTTGATCCAGAGGAGAATCGCGACGGGTTCAGCTTTGCGTCTGTACGAAAGCCTGGACCAGGGACAACGGAGAAAGGGTCGCTCGTTGGCACTGCCGTGCAGACGTTTGGTGATGATATCCCCGCTGATATTGATGTGGTGGCATCCGTGCAACTTCCCAGAGGCATTTTGGACTCGTTGCCAACAATCGAGGGTAAATAACTTTACGCAAAGTCGTGAAATTAGTATTTTCCTTGGCTTCCTGAAATAAAACCCAATCAGAAACTTCTTCTTTACAATGGTTTGAGAATACTTTAGATATATTTATTTCAAAAAGGAGCATTCTCGTAGCTGATGGCTTATAGTGAACATTGTCTTTACTGATTCAAAGCCAACAACTCGACTTTGCTTCAAGTGAGTTTCTTAATCTACGCTGATGACACACTGTTCCACTCGTCTTCCATCAGAAGGCATCAGGAGGAGACAAACTCTACTCGCAAAGTCGCAGGGCCTGTCGTCTCGTTGACGGTAGAAAATGTTAAACTTGTCAACCTTACAGAACCACTTGTTGTCACGTTTAAGGTGAGAGTGAAAAGTGAAGAAAACCCATTAGGGCTAGAGGTTATTGCAGATTACCTGGTGCCGCAATTATCAAATCATCTGACCAGATTTCTAGTTAAAGTTTACAAAATTCCCACTCACATACTCAAAATCCATTTTCTGTCTTGCAACAACATTGAAGCGACCCGTGTTTTTTCACAACCGCAGGCACCTGACGAAGAATTTGTTGCAGGCGTGACCACTACCCAGTGCGTCTTCTGGGATTTCGATCTTGAGGATGGAATCGGTGATTGGTCCACGGTTGGGTGTACACGTTCGGGGTTGTCCAGCGAAGTAGTGTCTTGTGAATGCAACCACGCCACAAACTTTGCAATCCTTATGGTATGTGCTCGAGGAACAAAGTTTCTGGGTCTTCAACACACGCCGTTAAACTCATCTTGTAATCTGTCGTTTCTATTTTTGCGTAGGAAATTCAGCACAATGAAGAAACAATCAAGGATCGCTTATTTTGCCTCATTCTTGTAACAGCTTTAGCGATCATGTCAAAAGCGGATATGGGATTTCAAGGTATTAAGATGTAGGCATTGTTAAAAGGTATATATAGACCTACACGCACTTTATGAAGGACGGCGTTAAAAGCACTTTTTGTTCTGTCAGTCGCAGAACAGAACATCAAGCAATTTTGAGGACTTATGCCGTGCCATTTACGTCTTATCTTCCCTCTTGCTTTCGATAGCTTGGTGTGCATTGGTTGTGTTGTGTTTCTCTTTCAGGATGTCAAAGGTCAGCAGATTATGAACAGAGCTCTTGATATCATCAGCCAGGTCGGCTGTGCCTTGTCGATTGCAGCTCTGGTCACCACGTTAATAATATATCTCTCCATCAGGTAAGACAAGTCACGTACAGGAACAACGCCAAAATTAAGCTATTTTGTTTCTATAGCGAAATTAACCATTGTAGACTGTAACCTTAAGTGAAATGAACAGTCTGGCATAACATATCTAGGAAGGGACGTCCAGCAGCGCGATCCCATTATTCAACATGTGCAGTATCCAAGTAAGTTTAGTTGAATTCTTTGTTTCTCAGAAAACTACGAACTGGCAAATCTCGACAGATCTTCATTCACTTCTGTTTCTCCTTACTGATGTTGTACATTGTGTTCCTTGCCGGCGTCGACAATGCAAAGGTGAGCCCTTCTTGAGAAAATGCCATAAAAGGACAGTTTCAAATAAAAGTTATAAATCTTCGACCAGATTCTTCCCTACTTCAGTTTGGCTATTGCAGAAATTAATCTTTCGTGATTGGCTTAAAAGACTGTTTTTTAATATCATTTTAATGTTTCATGTAGCTATGATATGGAAAGAAACATTGCTTAAATTTTTTTATATTTACACAAAGGGTGGTGCTTGTGTGTTCGTTTCTGCTTTACTCCACTACTTAACTCTGTCTACAATGATGTGGATGGCTGTTGAAGCCAGGAACGTGTACGTGCACACAGTGAGGGTGTTTCCCGAAGATACACCTCGCTACATGATCAAGGCCTGCCTGATTGCATGGGGTACGTTTTTTGCAAGCAACTGGTATTTTGCATTCACATTTCTGAGTTTTCATTCGCGTCATGCACATTTTACGCTAATTAACTTGCTGCTTCACCGGTAGTAATGCAATTCACGATTCAGGAAGCACGGCAGAATTTTAAATATCTGATAACGCACTGGTGACTTTTTGTCATTTGATTTCAGGATTTCCGTTGCTAGTTCTCACGGTTACTTTGGCTACAGCGGTTCATCACTACGACAATGAACTCTAGTAAGCGTAAAACATTTAGGGAAATACTTTTGCAAATAAACTTTCATAATTTCTGCTAGTATTTCTCGGTCTAAAAATGTCAACAAAGTTCAACTCAAAAGGTTGAAAGACTAAATGTATCGGAACACCAAATCATCACTCAACTCTTGATTTAATAAAAAACTAAAGAGTGCAACTTTATGCTGTACCTGTTACAGACCTTATAGTTGTCTATTCGCAAAACAATTGGCAACATTGATTTTAATAACGACTTGAAAACAAGGATAATCATTTTTATCTTTCAGCCAACCTGCTAAGGTTGAGGGCGGTCTTGAAATGTCTCAACTCGCTTGTTTTCCTTGCCTCGCCAGCTGCTTCCTGAAACCTGATCTTGTCCTGTACATTGCTCTCCTGGCTCCCATCGCTCTCATCCTCGCCCACAACTTCATCACCTTCATCTTGGTCATGCGCAGTCTCCTGAAGGTCAGAGAAGTTTCTCGCTCCCAACAGATCTCTAAACGCCTGCAGAATGCCGTGGGTATCTCAGTCCTCGTGGGCTTGACTTGGGCGTTCGGGTTCCTGGCGATTAATAAGGCAACATTCGTCTTCCAACTCATCTTCTGCCTTGCCAACTCCTTGCAAGTGAGTTTATCGTGTAGGTGTTTTCATTAATGTTGGGACGAATTGTATAGGTATTGCGTACAGACTTTTTAAGGAATTTTTGCGCACAAAAAGGACTGAAATTTGCAAAAGATTTTTGTCTCTTTGATTTGTTGTTTGAGATAAACAAAAACAAAGAAACGATCTTTTAAAGTAGGTTTCGTTTCATTCTGGAGAAACAATTGGGGGGAACAGTCAGGTGTTCGTGGTGCAAATAGGCCTACATAAGAAAGGAGAATTTCGTTTTTTGTCTTCATGTTGCAGGGCGTGGTCGTGTGCATCATGTTTTGCATTCGACGCGATGAGGTTCGTACCACCGTAGCACCGTACATCAGGCGTCTTTGTTGCTGTAATGCACCGGTTCGTCCTGGTCGGGAGCAGCGTTACCATCTACCGGGGGTATCTCAGTCCGCTGCTTCACCGTCAGTGTCCAAGGTGTAGGACAGACACTGTCAAAACAACCACTTGGCGTGCATGCATCATGGGTACACTGGATTAGTTACAGATAAAAAGCGAAGATGTAGGAAGAGATTATAACTCCGTACACAATAGTTTCGTGAATAGTTCACAAAAACTAGAGTAGACCCATGGTTATATCATACTTTTATGCGTTCAAATATTTTGAATTTATTATGGGTGAAGACAGGGAATCTGATAACCGAGGTGGGATTAAATCTTAAAAACGAAGGAGAAATTTGTCACTATGGTAACGGTATTATAGTAGAATTAAAGCAATAAGTATAATCGACAGCGAGGCTGTGCTGCACAGAATAAAACAATCAATTTTTTTGCCTCTGACTATAGATTTCTTTCTTGTGATAATTTTTACTGGATGTAATTAGTGATTTATGCTTTGTGCGACGTTCGAACTGTTTGTATATTTCCCTTTTTCTTTGCCCATAGAGGAGAGTCGATTCATATAGCTGTCGCATAAATACATGTAGATCTATTTTTATTTTGATGTCGTCGAAATAAAACAATCACTGTTGGGGCTTTGTGTTTAACCTGTGTTAACTTTTCAACTTGTTTTAACTTGTCAATGTGAATTTTACGAGTTGATTGGCTTGTGTTAAGTGTGTAAATACAATGGTCTGTTATACACTGAAAATCGCGTGTGATTAATTACCACATCACGATAAGGCAATAATGCTGTTAAAACTATGGTTGATATAAAGCTTACGGCGTTGACTAGGATTCGAGGAAAATTATTTGTTTTGAAATGACATATTATGTTGAAAAGTATTTTTATATATAGCTAATTAACTTTTCAAATGGAGGTAATCGTACACTGTTATGTCTATATCGCTGGGTTTTGTATTACTTGCAAATTATCGGATACTATTTTCAATGACTTGTTAGCGTCTAAATGTCTGGTTATTTTGCCTTGTTATTTCTTTGGTTTGCTTATTTTGTATGTTCAGTAGCTTAGAGTGGCTTTAAACAAGATAAGAGGTTAACCTGCCTGTTTTGGTGGTGCACGTTTTCTTTCTCATTTATCTGCCGGATCGGAACGCAGCCTAAAATAGGGTAGGATTAATAATCACTCCTTCTTTTGTAACCAGTTGATTTGGTTTTTGGCTTGGAATGAAAGGGTATTGTTTGTAATCTGGATTCAGGTTGGGTCACTCCACGGGCTTTAGTTCATTATGCAGGAGGTATGGTCCCCCTTTGGCGTACACTGCATTCTTATATTCTGGTGCGTGCATTGAAGCCTAGACTTAGGTATGAAAGGTTCTGGTAGGCAATGATTATTGTCATTTCTTCCTTGGCCTCTGCTCACTGCACCAGCTTGTTTGGTCTGACATGTCCCTGCCCTGCACATGTAGTCTTTTGGGCGTGGCATGGGGATATATAGTTGGAGGTTGCCCCGCCATAGCATGGGGAATGACCAGCGCTGGGTGGATGTTTAGCTGAGGTATGTTGCTTTTTCTTGCTTCATAATTAATGACTCAAGTGGTGATATTTAGTGTATAAATTTTCATATGTAATGTGTTATTTAAAAAATGACGTTGTGGAATATGACGGTTAGAATTTGTATGTTTTTCTTCACAGCTACACCCTGTTCCAAGTTGGGGTTTGCTTGCCAGGTTGTTCCGATTTGAGTTTGATTTTGTAGTCTTTTAAATTGTGGTTAATTATTTAATCGCTTGCGACAGTCATGATTATGAACAATAAATAAACCAATGGAAACTCAAGAAATAGTCCACCAGTACTTTTACTAACTGGGAAAATATAACCCGGCAGCCGGAGTTGGAATCAAGTTTTGCAATCATACTTCTCGCGCTGTTTATACCTGATTTCAAGATGATTAATTAACGTCTGGATGACAATCACCTCATGAAGGTTCGCAAACAGGGCATGATATATGTAGTTACTCATGCGAGAAATCAACTCGGACTTAATCTTTTGTTAGTACGGTTGCTTGGAGAAACAACTTGACTGGATCATTCAACTTGATGGACAGCCTTCATAATCAACAGTATCATCCTCTGTGCTCTATACTCTAAAACATAGTAGTGTACGCGGCTTGCACTTCTCATCATAATGCAGCGAATACTCTTGAGAGTCTTTGAGCATCGACCTGGACCAAGAGGGGACGCAATTTATTTATGTCTGTGATCGAGACCGCGCGCAGTTACTTGCTTCGCGCCCTCTTGTGTCCACTAATTACTATTAGTTCACTTCAGAAATCCCGACTTCACTCATCTGCCAACCGTTTGTACACAGCGAATGAACCGTTCATCTACCAAAAGTGGTAGCAGCCAATTGCAGTGCCAGAATTGTTTTTACGTCGTTTATACCTGTATTATAATGAACGAGTCTACAAGTCTGACCTCTTTGATGGAAATTACGCATACATTATGCAAGATCATGTCGTTCATATGCAATTATGAATAACTACACATCACCAACGGGGGGTCCGATTGGCTTATCCGTACAAATCGGACTCACTGACATCACACACGTCGTACAATAAATGCTATCAATTGAGGGCGCTTTATATGGGTTATGCGAGCTACCGGGCCGCGCGACGACCGTATAGCGCGAGTAGGCTGAAGGGATGGCTGACGGGGAAAAGAGCAAGTCTACCTCCCCCCCAAAAAAAAAAATTAACATCGTGGCCATACCGGCCTAGGCAGTTGAGACCGTTTGACCTTTTACGTAACAAAGCTGTGTCAACGCCTCCCAATTAAGAGTGCATTACGTAATTAGAATGTTAACATTAAGGAAGCCTGGGTAGAACACATCCTCTTGAGCCAAAAAAAATTAACCTCAAAATCGCATTTTGCTGCTGGTAAGTTTTATTTGAATTTTTTACATGGAGAGAGAACTAATGTCAATTTTCTGCCAAGAAAAATTTGACGTTATACTCTGACGACGTTCTTGGAGCCCAAATGTGACAGCTAAAAACTATTGAGGCTGTATTAACAAAGAATTAGGCCTATGTGGAGTTTCCGGAAACCAAAGTCTTCTAGTTTTTCTCTCTTTTTGCTGCAAAACTTGGTCAGAACAATATGCTTGGCCTATTCGAGTCAAAGTTTATCTATTATCAGATTTCGGAATCTTTCATGCGAATCGCCGTCCAATGTGTTGACTACTCCGTGGGGGTGTAGACGGGCCCCTCTGTAGTATGGATGTCAGCATCGGTGATGTCGGTTGGAAATAATGCAAGCGCGTCTGAGTCTCGCACGGGCTCTGCGGAAATCAAAATGCAAAAACCAACCGTGCATGATGTGTTTTAAAGACGTATGGTCGAAGCAATCGGCTTCCACGAAAGGCACACTTAGAAAAATGTAATAACGGTTTGCAAAATTTCCGTGGGTTTTCTTCGAACACAATCCAGCACGTCATCTGTGTACGGAAGCTTTTAATACTGCGTTATACGAAATTCTTCCTTGCTTTAATGTAATGGTTTTCGGTTGTCCCCAGAAGAGTGTAATGTTGAGAGAAGGACAGAAGGTTCTCAACAGAAGGAAACTGTGCGCTTTACAGCACCACGAAGATTTCCTTCATGCAAATAATTTATGCGGTGCACTGGTTCCCTAGGCGCAACCATTTTAAGCCAACAGCATTCACGTGTATCTACTGTGTATCTTTGATGGTCCAGCGAAGTTGACGTTCCCAACGAGCCCACCCCATGAACACAAGAGTTATATCAGCCTCTAGGTGTGTTCTACCTTGCGAGGCCACTAATGTTAATTTTTCGCTTCTTGAGAGGAAAAAAAATCACCGTGTGTGAACAAGCTGATTAGCTGAGCCTCCCCCCGTAACTAACTACTGATAACGTACATGTAAGCCCACACTGTCTCTTCACATGATTTCAGGAAGGCATCCTTTCATAGAAAGATGACATAATTCACAATTACGAGTGCATGTCGATTTTTGGTACGTGTACACACGTTTGGCCAATTGTTGATTTCACAGTATAGGTGAGCCAGCATTGTGGCCTCAGAAGTTGAGTATTTCGCTTCCCGAGGCGGAAAAATCGAACAGATATCTGTCTCACGCCCCAGGAGGCCGAAAACGCTTCAGAGACGAATATTTGAGATGAGTTCATTCCGATGGTAAAGATAATAAAGCAAATCTTACATCTAAAGTTTCCATCCCCTACATGCAGTTGGACTTAATTCTGATAGTATTAATTATTATATAATTATTATATAATTTTGGCCATACGCACCTTAGTTCGTCAGTCCTCGTTAATCGTACAAGATCGGTGCTATTCAGGGGCTTGCTGAGCCTTTTCGATGGCTGCACGCTCTGTTCTTTTTCCATGCATGCCACCATCTTTACACAACGCAGGGGGCCACGGACAGGTATTTTCACGCTCGGATTCGAGCAGGTCCTCCGACTTCTTCGCCTCCTGAAGACTCGCCAAGGCCCCGGGGCTCAGACGGCCCAGGGCTCGCCTGGCTGCTAACTTGGCGGCAGCTTCGAATTCGTTAACCAAATCGTTGTCCTCAGCGCGAGCGAATAGCAGCGAAGCTGTCAGAAATAAGCAGACTGCAACACATATAACAACGCCCTTCGCCATTGTCAAAACGAACAGATGTTGAGCGAACGTCCTACGCAGAAGGAAACGCCGCGCCTTTAAATCGGGTTTTTGGCTTAGTTTCAAGCAATACGATAGATGAATAAAGAGAACGGACTTCAGGGCAAACATTCCCAACACAAAGCGTCAACCACTTCTGGAATGTGCGTGCCTCTAACAATAAAATCAGAGCAGAACGTAGAAACCACACTCGGGTGGTAAAAATATACACATCAATTGTCCTTATTTATTTAAGCTTATGAAATCGTGCGTGTCTGTGAGCCAATATTTGATATTTAAACAGCCATATATATGTGTATGACGTAAAATGCAAGGTTGCTATATTTGCCACTTTCACCTCCATTAGAAGTTTTTCTTAAAGCAGCGAGTCACTACTGTATTCGAGGGGTAAACTTTAAGTTGCTAAACCTTGGCATATCGTTTCGCAAGTGATCTGATCCACTGAGGTTATGACGACTGCTGACAAAAAGCGATGTCCTCTTCTTAAACTTCAAAATCCGTATCCAATCATGATTCAGAGCAGGATGGCATCCTCCTGAAAATCCAGGAAGTCCGCATCCTGCCACAGTGATCATCTCAAAATGTTCACACTATGTACAGTCTCATGAATTCGGATCGCTTCAACAACTCTGTATAGCCATAGCCATTAAAAACTTTTCTGAACACTTTCTTGCTATTTGTCTGCAAACACTTTTGAATCCTGCTTTTGGTCCTGATGGACGGTGTGTAGCATTTAGGCAATGGTGTCTAGGAACTGGAGAACAAAAGGTTTAGCATCTACACATCCTAAATAAAACGACAGCAAGATTGTGTTCCACAAAACACAATTTTAAAGCAACAATGACAAAATATATCTTTTCTTGAGACAAATTGGCGCAATTTCAACCACCCGTATAGCAGCTCGCAGAACTCCACGGTGTGGAACTGAAGGCAACCATTACTGTGTGGTATTTTACTGCTGGACCACTTCGCTATTACCTTACAGGTGTTTTAACCAACGGGATCAACTGTTACCTCCCAGCAGAGATTCGAAAATGTTGATAGCAATAGAGCTGGCAAATTAAGCGGCTTTAGCAATAATATCTTCCCTAAACCAGGCCAATGCAAATACCATGAAGACAAATTATTCTTCGAATAAATACGTGTATAATGGTGATACACGTGCTGCCTTGGGTAAGCATCACGATCCACGGAAGGCTCTAGTTGTAATGAAAGCATTACGCAATTTATGAGCAGACGTAGGAGAGTTCGTTTCAGGGTGAATCTACCAAAACTGGGAAGGGAATAATTTCAAATATGTAAGGAACGAGTCGACCACGAACCCTTTGTACCTAGGCAAATTATTTTACGTGATTTCTTCACCATTTCCGCTTATTGCGTGCGAAGCCACAAAGTTGTCATCGCAGAGATACTTTGTCGATTGAATTAATAAAGAAAACTGAAATAAAGATATTCATCAACTTGCTGTCATTATTGCGGTGACAGCTCGTTCACCGATCTCGTTTTTCGAAGAGAAAGAAAAGGTGAAAAAAACTTTTTAAAAGATGGTATAACGTTGCACTTATTACTTACGCGTAGTAATTACCATAAATCTGAGTGAAAAGGCATTCGCAATGCAGAAGTATATCACCAATCACCTTTAATGATATAAATAAAACGAAGCAGCCTGTGAGAGCATAGATTTAAGATCCAGTGAAAAGCGAAAGTTGTTAAGATAATAATCACGACGTTTGTTCTATGCCTCTGGTGTTTTCGACAAACTTTCAGTTGATGGACAGCTTAACACTCCTGACGCAAGTACATCTCAGATTTCATATGTCTTTAGCATTTGCACAGAAAACCTGAACCTTTCTGTTTTCCTA